CGGCGTCAGATGATCCTCTTTGACTCGGATAATCCCCTTCGACTTGGATAATGACGTTCATCGCCTTCTCTTTATCTCGAGCTGTGTGCAGACGCCTATAGGCATTTTTAGATGCCTACATCAACCATTACTCCCGATTAACTAGACAATAAGTCACAATAGACACGTGTGCCTATCAGCATAAGGGAATAATTTATAGCAACTTCATGTACGTGTCATATGGGAATTTGTTTAAACATAAAGTTTAATATGCTTTATAATTTTAATTGTACAATAATAATATGTAATTAAAACTAAGAGGAGAGGTGTTTCAAGTGCAATGATAGAAAAAAGGTGAGGGCCGTGCTTGGCACGGGGTACATACTAGTTCTTAAAAATAAGAAAATATATGAGATGATATGAGTTATCATTATATTATTGAATGATGTGACCCACACTTAAGGAAATCGTTTTCCTAAACTTTTGGGAGGAAATGAGTGGAAATAAAATGTTAATGAGATGAGATGAGTTGTCACCATATTATAGGATGATGTAAGTGATTTGAAATGATGAGATGAGATGAGTTGAGTGATGTTGTGGATGAAAATAATATTTTATTAGATGTGGTGGATGGGTTGTTGGATGAAAATAATATTTTATTAGATGTTGTGGATGAGTTGTTAGATGAAAATAATATTTTGTTGGATGTTGTGGGTGAGTTTTAGGGATGAAAATGGATGAAATTACACTTTTTGAGATTTCCACATTTTCATTTCCATTTCTTGGTTTTTAATTAGGAAATCAACCAAACAGACCCTCACTTGGAGAAGAAGTTGATTTCCATAAAATACTATAATTTTCCCTACTTTATAGAAAATATTTCTATAAATTTTTTTGAACCAAACATAGGTTACAGAAATCTATTATTTACAAAAGTATCATTGTCAGTTGTTTTCTCAAAACTTTTCTCTAAAATGAATGAACCAAACACCCCCTTATTATACTTCTTTAAACTCTTATCCATCCGACAGAAAGTAGTGCAAACTTTACTCACAAAAAGAAAGTAGGGTATAAGATTCAATTATTCTCGTGATGTAATTAAACTTAAAAGGTTGGATCCAATTAACTATAAATTATCGGAAGGAATCAAGTCTGGGTTTCTCAAATATCAGAACCGACCTGAGCCTGACCAGATCCAGCCCCATTGTCATGATAGCTTGTTTATGAAGATAATTGTTGCTAGAAGCCTAGAACAAATAAACTTATGAAGTCATAGATCTTTTGTGTTGCCTCACCTTTCCTTACTTTTATTATTTTCCCATATTTTGTTGAGATAAAATAATGGCTATTTTTTCTAGCATCTTCAAGTTTTTCATCGAAAAGTTTTGTACTCTACTCCATTTATGCAGGACATATTCAAAGCTAGCGACATGACAGCATGAAGCATTTGATTCCACCTCATGATAATAAAGCTACCAGAGGTTGCTTTGGGTAGACCTTGGAGATTTGGTCATTGGAGAAATTAAGCTTTTCTATTCAGGTATTTACTTTAGGTAATAATAATTTGAACCCTCTTTTATATTATAGAAATTATCCATGACATAAATACTTGGACCATGAGACGCTATACTGAACCACGATCTAGCTAGGTTCCATCTTCTTGGAACACGATGCACTAGCAATTGTGTTGTGTACCTTGCATTCTGATTCAAAATTCAAATTAATTACTATTTTGAATAAAACAACCATCTTCAGATAAATAAAAAATAAAAAGTGTATTTTAGTGACGACTTGAGAATTCTTTTATGACCATTGATCCTTGTATTTGACTCTTGCAGAAAATTATACATTGAGATACTCAAATTCCTACCTTTCAAAACCGAACCTAAAGCGTACCTTGTTTCCTGACCATGTAAATCTACCCCCCTCTACCTGATTTTAATAAATGGTCACGGCGTCACACTCCCGTTCCTGTTGTGTGAATCGGAACGAAGGGACTTACATGCATCTATGATCCTAGACCTACAGTTGTAGTCCCCCACGTTGTCAAGTTCAACGAAATCTCCTTCATAAACATCAATAGCTGGTCACCCATTTGAAATAATGGGCCCGAAGCCCATACTATAAAGAGGCTCATATCCAATTGTGCGTAAGCCTAACCTAGTGCCTTAACTCGGTCCACCAAGCCGAACTGCAAATCACCAACCGCATGGAAAAGATCGAGCTAGGATCAAACCCAAGGGTTAACATCAAAAAGGTTCTCGAATACGCAATCTTGGATATCATCCATTATGCATGGCTTAAAAATCCATGTTGGATTTAAATCTAATTAAATCTATTTGTGGACACTTATGATTAATCTGTGTGTATTGCTATCCTTCAGGATAACCCACTAAAGTGATTAATTAATTTGGGTTGATGGGTATTTAATTTAATCATATGGTTATATGTGCAGATACCATGTTGTAATTGTAATTTGATGAGTGACCAAATTACAAATGTACAACACCTATAAATAAGGGGTTATGGTCCCTAATGTAGGGTTACATTCTCTAATTCTCTTCACCCCCATCTAGAGAGAAATTTGGCTAGAGAAACCCTAAGGTTAGCAGATCCAAAACACATCTCAAGTTTAATCTATGGATTCAGGTATAAGCTTCCGCTCTTTTCTTTTGATTCTTATAAATCTCTTTGAATCAATCATGGTTTTATGGTTTAGATCTTAACTTTTTATAAGATCTAACAATCCAACCCGAGTTTCATAATAGACATCTCATCATGTACAAATATTTGTCAAAAGGTTTCTTCTGCTACATCAAGGCTCTTAAATTTGGGTAAGAGTTGAGGATTAAAATTTTTTACAATAATATATTTCCATGAATTTAGTGTCCTCCTGATTGATTGAAATCCGACCTCGCGCAACAATGTGATCCTAACTCAGATTATTTTGGTAGCATGTTAAAAAGCGCTTTTGTTGTAACAAAACCCCAAAGTCGTGATAATAATGAAGATTTACAAGTCTATACTGAGTCTTATTCACCCTCACCAATCTTTAAAACTTTTTAATTAGAGCACAACTACATAGATTGAGAACCATATTAACCAAGAACCTTAACCTACTATACAGTCTATACTATTAAGTGATCAAGACTTACCATGTCCATTATGCTTAGCACATTAGTCGGGGTTATAGTTGAGACGGTAATCCAAATACTTTGTTCACATACATTTACTTTGCTTTTACCCATTGAAAAAACACAAATGCAGACTAAAACATAACATGGAGGCGCGTGTCGTTCTCCCGCACTTCATCGTTACCTTCAACCACCGGTTACTGTCAGCGTGTCACCGAGTAACGTCTAGTGTTTTTTTCTCAACAAACTTCGTGGGCCCCTCCATCCTCACCTCCCATCGCCGTGTTCTTCCTTCAATAGAAAAAGGACATTGGTTCATTTTGTCGTCTTAAATGAGTACTTACAAGGAAAGACAACTCATCTTTTAAAATGAGTCCAAACGACAATGAGTTGTTATTAAACAAAAATGACTCGTCTTCTCTTTATATCCTTTTACCTAATCATACGCGGCAACTGCTTAAAGATAGTGACCTTTTCACGACTTCTTCACGTTTTCAACATCCCCGCGGTATTTTTATATTGTTTTATCAGCTGATTCGTGGAAAGTAGGCAAATTACTTCGGTCTTGGAAAACTATGGGTATCCATGTTATGTTGTGTATGATTCGAATGTTTCCGATCACGATCAGATTATTATTAATTTACAAATAATGTTATTTCGGAACTGGAATAGCGTGTTAACAAGTGGAAGAGATGGGAGAATTAAGGACATTTACAAAAATGAAGCCCTTCATGATGTAAGAGATGAGTATATATTTCAAAATTTAATCATGACCTGTAAAAATTTCTATTAATACGTTATCAAGTGCTTGTGAATAAATGACTTTTGCCAATAACAATTGTCAGGACATGATAGTAGTATTTAACAAGTTCCTTAATAAATAATATGTTTTCCTTCCTCACTCTTGATATGCAGATCCAATTTGCTTATTCTTTGGTAATAAATGATATGTTTTCCTTCCTCACTCTTGATATGCAGATCCAATCTGCATATTCTTTGGTTGCTTGCAAATGTACTGGTTTTTACTCTATGAGTACAAATGTTATTAGAACTCCAGTACGGTGTGGAGAGCATTCTAAGCCTAATTGGGAGAGCGCATGAGATTATTTCGATAATTTACATGTCCTATGTAGTTCAAATTGTCCCACACCATGAAGCGTTTTTGAAGGAATTGTACTCATTTTATTATGGTCATTTTACAATCAGTAATAGAAAAAAATTATAAGTATTTTACACTGTGCAAAGGTAAAAATGATGACCCCCTTAACACAAATACACTAATTTAGAGTATCTACTACGAAATAAGGTACTAAATAACAATTTCTACAACATGAGACACTCATTTTAAACTATGAAACATTTAAAAAAACCAATATCAAAGATTAGTTTCTCAAATCATTGAATTTGCTATTAGGTTCCCCAATCTCAGTAAGTTTTTTCAAATAACCAGGTATTAAAAGATATAACAACTGGGGATCTAATAGAAATTTAAATGATTTATTAGAGGTTTTATGGACTAATATAGAAAAGACTTAAATTATAGGGCTTTATTATACTAGAACCCCTTGAACTTTTTCTACATTAGACCTCTAAATCTATTAAATTATTTCAATTAATTAAGTTCTTCTAAATAAGACCCTCAAATCTATTAAGTTATTATAAATAAGGCCCTCGCTTCAAACAAATATGATGATTTGGGACTCTAATTTAAAGATAGGCAGATTTGAGGTCTAAAATGACATTAACAAATAGTTAGGGCCTAATATGGTAGCAAAAACCCTAAAATATTCTACGTTAGTATATAAGGATTCAAAAATAAAGCTAACAAGAGAAATACTAAAATACCCCTCTACTCTGCCACCAACAAGTCAATCAACACCAAACTCAGTCCGCCATCTCCCCCAAAAATCCCACCCTCATTAGTCATTTCCTCCCCAATTCAAGAAACCACCACCTCCGAAAAAAAAACCCAATAAATACCCAAAAAAAAAACTCCAACCTCCTCAACTCCCCTCTCTCATCAACAAAACAAAACAATGGCGTTCCGCTTGAGCAACAACCTCGTCGGGATCCTGAACTTGGTCGTCTTCGTCCTCTCGATCCCGATCCTCGCCGGCGGCATCTGGCTCTCCCACCGCTCCTCCACCGACTGCGAGAAGTTCCTGCAGGCCCCCATCATCGCCATCGGCGTCTTCCTCCTCGTCGTCTCCCTCTGCGGCCTCGTCGGCGCCTGCTGCCGCAACTCCCTCCTCCTCTGGATCTACCTCCTCGTCATGTTCCTCCTCATCGTCCTCCTCTTCTGCTTCACCATCTTCGCCTTCGTCGTCACCAACAAGGGAGCCGGCGAGGTTGTCTCCGGGAGAGGCTACAAGGAGTACAGGCTCGGGGACTACTCCAACTGGCTGCAGAAGAGGGTCGAGAGCTCCAAGAATTGGAGGAAGATCAGGAGCTGTTTGGTTGATAGCAAGGTTTGCCAGAGGTTTGAGGGGAATGGCAACAGGACTCTGGATCAGTTCGTGAAGGAGAATCTGTCGCCGCTTCAGGTAGTAGATGAATCTGTATCTTTACGCGTGTTTTCAGATCTGGGTTTGCTCTTGGTTTTCATGGGTTTGTTCGATTTGCAAGGAATTCTTGTGGGGTTTTGGGATTTGGGTTTTTGGCTATTCTCGGTTAATTTTATTAAGGATTCGATTGAGGCTTGTTCAACTCACGGCTTCCTGGGATAACTTAGTAATTCTTTTTCTAATTTTATCACTGCCAAATAAGTAAGTATTATTATTATTTTTTATCAAATTAGCTTTCCTTTTCTCTTTCTTGATCAAATGAATAATTCAAAATTCAGAAAATCTTGAATTTCTTGATTTTTTTTTCTTTCCAGAAGCATGTTTTTTGGGTTCCGAGCTCTGGCTTTCTTTCGTTTTTTCCTTTCTGGGTCAAAATTGTTTTTACGTTGGTGGTACTTTTTCAATTTCTGTTGGGGTTTTTGGGCTGAATTCTTCAGTTTCCTTCTCTAGTTCTTGCAAATTACCTGATGAATTACCCTGGAATCCTGCCTTCACTGTCTTATAATATATTATTATGTGATCAGTCAGTGGTTAGCATGATTATTCCGTGATCAGTCAGTGGTTAGCATGATTATTCCGTGATCAGTCAGTGGTTATTATGATTATATTGTCTGAATTAATAGTTGACTTTAGTATGCACTTTGCATTACATGTTCTGTGATAGAAAGATGGTCAAGCGTCAAGATCATATTATTTAGACATGAAGAGCAGTGGGCATAACATGCTTTTTTTTCCCTTCTATCTTTATCTGTATTATATTTTTCCATCCTGTAGTTGGTACGCCAAAGTTAGCTCTCGCTTCCATTTCCTTTTTCTGTAATTTGTTTACCTGCATTCAGTCTGACCTTTGATGCTTTGTCTCTGAGAAACTCTCCAAACTCTGCAATTTGCACTTATTTATTTTAGGACAAGTGCAAAGGGGTGAAGGTCACCCTTAATTCTTCTAATGTCTGATGGTCATGGAACTTCCGTGTTATTAGGAAGTATAAGGAGTCATAAGAGGTAACCGAGTTGAGAATTATAATGGGGGAGAGATTTAAATCATAGAACGAAAGGAGGGGATTATTTATTTTCATGGAGAATAAATTTTTATTTGCCTGTTTCACTCTCAAGGCAAATCAACATTTTGTATAAATTTATACATGCTGTGTAAAGTTCGAATTTCCTCTGGTGGCATGAATTTGGATTTGTTTTAATATGCTACACCTAGTTATCAATTTGGCACGCTCCTATGATTGCTCTAGTTTATTTCTGTACCCTGCCTTTAGTCAATCATCCACACTTCAGCTGCTATAATTCAACCTTTAACCCCTGCATGAAATTAGGTTCATAAATTTTTTAGACATTTTGTTGGGAAATTATTGATTGTAATATTTTATTAATCAAGTTCTAGGGAGAGAAAACTTCTCGATTCCAATTATAACTATTTATTTCTTTGTATTTATATAATATTTTCTCAACTTCTATCACTCATGCCCACTAGAAAAAAGCTAGAGGTCTAGATTTTATTATACATATTCATCCAAGTTCTACATACGCCCTCTTCATTCAAGGCGCCATAGAGTGAAATGCATTGGAATTTCACGTGTTTAAATATTTTTGTGGAGCAAGTTATAATCTTTAAAAGATAGGACCTGATTTGCAGCCCTTTTATTAACCATGCAACTACTTTACTTTAGGAGCAATATTGATCTCTTTAAAAGTTAGCCCACATTAGAAACTACAGTCAACCCTTCAACTTTAGAAATGCCATTGAGTTATGGACCCCCAAGGCAAGGGTGCCCTTTGTAATATCTTTTTAACTTTATTAATCCAAAGTGGGTGATCAAATTTCATTTTCTCAACCCTACTCACATGCTCTCTCCTTACTTTAAGTCATGTTGTGTTCCTTTTGTTTATCCAAATTATTAGCATCTTGGCTTTTTCTTATAAAATGCTTCAAACGTGCTCCCCTTTCTATCATACTGTATATTCTGTGATACGTTGTAAATGGTCCAGCATAGGACAACCTTATTTTTACTCTAATAAGGGCAAATTTATCGAAACCTCCCAGAACTTTATAACTCATGGAAAAGATCCCTGAATTTGTCTCATGTACCATGACTAACTGTGACAACTTCTACTTTAAATTATCGCGCCCTAAGATTTGGATAATTTTACCCCTATATGTAAAAAGTATAATGGTAGTTCGCGAGAATTCCATCAGGGGCTTGTAGTATAATCTTGAAAATTTAGGATGCTGTCTATGATTTATAAATCTCAGGGGTTTTGTGCAAAACGCCCTTTTATAGGTTCAGAATAGTTTTGTGAAATTTACCCTTTTCATCTAATTGGGTCTCTGCTTTCAATTACAGTCTGGATGCTGCAAACCTCCAACAGCGTGTGGCTTCATATACCAGAGCGCAACTGTATGGAACAAGCCCGCAAATGGATTCGCCTCCAACAACACCGACTGCCCAGTCTGGAACAACGATCCCAACACCCTCTGTTACGATTGTGAATCTTGCAAGGCTGGTGTCCTCGCCAACATCAAGGATGATTGGAAGAAGGTCTCTATCCTGAACATCATCTTCCTTGTGTTTCTCGTCGTTGTCTACTCTGTTGGATGCTGTGCCTTTAGGAACAACAGGGAGGACTATGCTTATCCCAGATGGAAAGGACATCCTTAAATCGAGCACTCGGATGTTCTTCTTTGTACATTCTGGATTTTGGTATGCTCCCTGGTTATGTTAGCTGTGTTGACCCTATCATGTGTAGTTTTCGGTTTTGTATTGATGCTGTGACGTGTAACTGGGAGCTTTAGACACAAATACATTGTGATTGCCCTAGTGTTACCTAGTTTTCGAAAACTCTTCTATTTCTTTGGTTAATATTTTCCTACTGTTGTAGAGCGTCTGTGCTCTACGGATGATGAAGCAATTGATGATTTGTAGTTCCGATAAATCAGTTAAAAATGTTGTGTCACGTGAAATTCTGTTTATTTCTGGGGAGGACGATGACTAGTGCCATAGTGTTATATGAATTCAAATAATTTGAGCAGTATATGAAATTCAGAAAGAGAAAGACAACTGGCAACAAATAGGCAGGGACGAGGAGCTTCAGATGGAGGTAATATTTGCTGACAAAAATGCAAGGCTCAGATAGTTGCTATGAAATACACCAAGCTGGTAACGGTGACGGATCAAGATATGTATTACATAAGGGCACACAAACAGGTGTTTGTTTGGAAAATTATTCCATCGCCCGCTCCCCCACTCTTCCCTTTTAAGAACCAATACACTTGATATACGATAAATTCCTAAATGGAGTGTATACATATGTCGCATTAGACACAAAATACTACAAAATCATTTGTGCTTAACAAAGTAATGGTCTAGAAGAATTTTATAAATAATGCGTGTAAATCCAAAGTTGTCCAAGAACAAGTGCATCCCACAAGGAACAAGAGACGCAGAATCCATCAACACGTATGGTATCCCACCAATTACGGTAGAGATGTTAAATGGGTGGGTATGGGTTTAAATGGGCGGGCCATAAATGGGCGGGCAGGTTTTGCCCATTTACCCATTTATAGCACATTTAACATTATTTAAATGGGCGGGTTTTTACCCGCCCATTTAATAAACGGGTCGCCCATTTGCCCATTTAACTATAGTACATATATATGTATAATACTTTTGGGGTGTTTTTTGTAAACTTTTAGGGGTTTTTTTTGTAAACTATTGTGGGCTTTTTGCAAACTTTTTGGGAGCTTTTTGCAAACTTGTTGGGGCTTTTGATAAAATACTAACAAAGATAGGAACATAAACAAAGATAAACAAATACAGACAAATTCATGATTGAACCATTTACAAGCCTGGATAAAGGTACAGACCTCACACATTTGCAAAATTAACCTCAAATTTCCAAACCAAAAACCTAAAGATCAATAACAAAAAAATTGCGAGTATATTTAAATGAATTAAGATAGAAAACACAAGGTATGCAAGGATCTGTATAAGATCAATAACTTGATATAAACACCATCATAACTATCAGCAACACGATCACGATTAGTAAGGACAATCTACTTAATTACTTGATAAACTAGAAGAGTAGTAAGTTCGTCTATAAACAAAATAGTAGCACAACCATAGTCTACTTATTTCTCATCTTTCAAATGTTCAGGCATGAACAGGATCATGACAGAAGAAAGAAAAGACCAGGAAACAAAGATCAAAAGAGAGGGATTTTACGAGAAAGTAAATCTTAGCCCCCAAATTGACAATGCTGCGACTGACAATAATCACAACGCAAGGAAACAGTATAAACATATTACAGAATCAACCAAAATCAACCAAAATCACAGCTTCAGCAGCAGCAGCAGCAACAACAACTGCTTCGGCAGCAGCAGCTTCAGCAACTTCAGCAGCAGCAACAACAACAGCAACAACAGCAACAACAGCTTCAGCAGCAGCGCTTGCTTTCTCGTCAGAATTCGTCTGTGCCATTTATTGAACAAATTCAAGGTTCTCTGCAGCATCAACAGTCAGTTAACCAGTATATGCCAGAGTTGGAGCAATTTTTGAAACTTCAGTTAGAGGAGCAACATCATCTTCAACAGCTGCAGCAGCAACAAGAATTGCATCAGCAACAACAGCAACTTCAGCTCCAAATGCAACTAAAAATCATGAAACTTTACTTGGTTAATTGTTCAATTTTCGAACATTTGCTGCGGCAGCAGTTGAATGACCCTGTTTATCAACTTAGTTAAGTGTTACGCGGCATGAGTCATAAGAACATTTCATATATAAACTATTAATGAGATTGCTAAGTCAAACTATCAAATTAAACAATTAACCAAGTAAAGTTCATGAACCATGGGAACTGTATTAATATATAAAGAACTTAATATTTGTAATCTCATGATTTAAGGGAAATCCTTCTTGGTATTTGTACGTGTAGTGTAAAAGTGAGGCAAAAGCTCAAAAATTTTGCTTTCTCATATACTAATTAATTGTAGGATTAGTTGAACATACAAGTACATAAAAGTATTCACACTTTAAATCATTACACAAGAACACGAGAGTGAATGTAAATGGTATACTTCGACAGCATAAACAAAATTGAAAATCTACTGGAAATAGCATTAACGAATTGGAGCTTTGTAAAACCAATTAACAGTCTACAAAATTAACATCTGTAATTTAGAAAATAAATGCTAATTACTAAGTATCGCGTCAAAGTTTTTGATGTGTACATAACGTAATGCAATAAAGCAGTGTCAACTGAATCAATGAATTTCCTATCTGACCATGTGAACAAGTGTTTGCCATCTATTTTCAACTTTATATCAAAACTCTTATCCTTGAATAAACACATCTACAACAAGGATTCTATCATGTTTCAAGCTCAGGTCACTACACCTTAATCAATGTCTGATGTTGTCTTGGCTCAAGGCAAATACCATGCCACACTTGCATGTTACTGGTGAAATAAACTAGACATTACAAGTATCATCGTCAACAAAAGACTCCTTCAGCCATAAGATGACAATTTAATAACATAATGTTAACAGGCTTCATTAAGCAATAGTTCATTAAGCAATGGTCTTTAGTTTTATAGATCGCAGATAACAATCAATATTGATAGAATAATAAAGTGACATAATAAAGTAATAGGAAAATTGACAAAAAATATCCCAGGTATACACAAATATTATTGAACAATAAGAAATAAATTTTCATGAACTTCTAGAAAGATTCTTTGTTACAACAAGGCCTTTGTGCTCATTGCAAGTATTGCATAACACTAAGACTATAAATAAGATGTAAAAGTAGTAAACTGGAGAATATAATTCAAGGATATAAAATCTGACTCTAATTCAGATCAGTTGAGCAGAATGCGCACAAAATACGTAAACAGAGCATTATTTCACTCCTGCCATTAAAAGGCACATTGAAGCAGTACTTTGGAGCTACTGTTCTCTCTATCTGGGATTAACCATTGATCAAGTTTGTGAGAGTGAGGAAATGTGGTGTATAGGAAATGCTTTTTGACTTCTATGTGATTGTAAAAATATCCATGGTGTTAAATATAAAATTTAATTGCCCTACTGCAATAAACTGTCTAGTCTTGACCAGTTTAAGGTTGTGCCATATTATGCCATATTATGCACGCTTAAATTGCAAATTGTCAAAATTCGAAAATGGCAACAATCAATATTTAGCCAACAACATTAGAAAAGCAAGTTTATGATGTACACTAATTTCATGGAACAAGTAAAATCTTACCTTAATCACTTTCGCCTTCCGATTCAGAAACCTCTAGATTACTGAAATCATGTACTAATAAATTTCCTTCTTCAATGTCTGCCAGAGCTGCATTTAATAAGAAAAAATAATATTAATATTTTGTGATAAAATATGTAGCCCACAACAATACAAAAAAGCAATAAAGGAAAAAAAAAGAAGGCAACTCACAAGGAATCCCGTCTAACCAAGAACCAGTACAAATTTGAGCTTCAGCATTCTCCGGAAGAAGACGATTTCGATACTTGTCAAGCACATGTCCTGCAAACTTTGTGGACATCAATTTTGGGTAGCAAACACATAATAAAGGCACAAAATAATATAAAAGCAGTAATTGGTTCGTGTAATAATTCACATGTCGCTAATAATATAACAAGAATTACGAAGACTGGTCTTATTCACTTGCTATTATACTTGATTCAATGGCACATGATTTACAAAGAGATCTGATGTTGAGAGTTAGATGTAAGGCAACTTTTTTTAATTGACGTATCAGTTTTAATTTAGAATAGACTGTAGTTTAGAATAGCCGATCTATTTATGTAATCTCCTTGATTAGAATAGACTCTAGTTTAGAAAAAATAAGAACAATTTAAACAAATCAACTGACCAAAAAAGCCTAACTGATGAAGATTAGTTTCTCTGAAAGGACATGGCCAGTTACCTCACGAACAAATGGAACTTTGCTTTTTTTAAGGTCAAAGAATAGGTTTGGATGACCCTTGTTGGGACTAAAGTATGATTTCTGGAAACCCAAACAGGCCCTTAAAGATGAATCAGTTCCCTAAAATGAAACGATCATCTCACAGGAACTTTGGTTCCATGAGCTTCAAATTAGAAGAAGGAAAAAAAATTCTATATAATGTAAGAAACAATTTATGTTAAGTTCTTCCTCGTTTATCATGCCAAAATTTTATATTTTTCTCTTCTTTTATGTTTAGAAGTACTCTCATCATCACTACCATCATCATGGATGCTAAATTGATCATTTAAAGACATGATCGCTGAAAAAAATAATTTAATAGCACATTAATTTTGGGTAGCAAACACATAATAAAGGCACAAAATAATATAAAAGCAGTAATTGGTTCGTGTAATAATTCACATGTCGCTAATAATATAACAAGAATTACGAAGACTGGTCTTATTCACTTGCTATTATACTTGATTCAATGGCACATGATTTACAAAGAGATCTGATGTTGAGAGTTAGGAAAATTTTTGGGAGGCTTTCGTCGTCACCGCAAACTTTGTGGACAACTAATGTTTACCATGATGGCAGGCATGATCCCTTTCCCTAAATTGACAAGAGATGGGAAAAGAATCGAAGTAAAAAGAAGGAAAGGCAAAACAAAGGACGAACGCATTTGATGTCCATAAACAGATTGAATTGACAATCAAAGAAGGGCAAATGAAGATGATTCAACTAGCGTTATGCTTGCAAGCTCACAATTTCTATAGTAGGTAAATAAATTTGGAATTAAATTTAATGTTGAATATGGTATTTAATTTACCAGAACATAAGTGATTAAAGATACCATATGCAGGGAAAAAATCCCTTACGCATTGCTCTAGAGGATTATGTGATAGAACCTATTTTAGTAGATGTAGTTGCATGAAAATGACATATTTTAGACCAGTTATAGCAGTTTATTTTAGTATGTACAATTGTAATTGCGATACAAATTGGAACTTAAAGAAAAAAATCGTTTGCACGCAACAATTTATACGTGTATGAACGTCAATTGCAGCTGTAACTTTTCAAAAATAAATAGAAATAAATTGTAATTCCACTCACAATCCACTCCCAACAAAAGTTCTAAAAACATGACATTCCCAAAGAACACATACAAATTATTTTTTAATTTTGATCAAATGTTGTATGCATCTGCATCTGATAACTTTACAACAATTGCCATTGCAGTGAATGTTACTCGCACTGTTAATTATTATGGAAAACCTAATTGCAGTCCTATTTTGATCAAATGTCGTATGCATCTTCAAGAATCTATCATAATTTTGTGCAAATTATGCTAAACTTGATTAGAATAGACTCTAGTTTAGAAAAAATAAGAACAATTTAAACAAATCAACTGACCAAGAGAGATCGCGGACGAGGGCGGCTAGGGCTTCGGGATTGACTCCGCGATCGCAGAGGGAGATGATGAGGGAGAGGGTGATGCCGCGTCGGAGGCGGCGTCGGAGGCGGAGGAGGAGGCGGAGGAGGAGGGAAGCCGCCAGAGAGAAAGAGGAAGAGATTGACGGGGGGGCAAATGGGCATTTTTTGGATCCTATATTTAGTTTTTCTTCTGGGAACGCGGGCGGGCAAATGGGCACATATACACCGCCCATTTAGTACCCGTTTAGTGTGGATTAAAATGAACCCGCCCAATTAGACCCATTTAACTAAATGGGTGGGTTTTGGGCGGGCTACGTGGTAGGCGGGCCGGGTGGGTAAATGGGTATGGGCAGAAATTGCCTTCCCTAAATTACGGCAAAAAAATAAAATAAAAACTAACAATATGGAAGAAGTTGGGGCGGCCTTTTAAGTATATTTAGGCCCAGCATCCCGTTAGCACTGACAGGCCCAGCAGCTGCCCCTTCCAAGATTGACGTGGAGACCAGGCCTTTGTAACCAATCCAACGAGGCAGCTTTAATGGACAAACGTTTGGCATATAAATCAACTTTAGTTTGGCGAAAATTGGGCCAGACTTGAGCAAAAAAATTTAGCCCAATTTTTTTTTTCTTCTATTTTTTCTATTTTTATTTTTATATTTTTCAAAAAAGGATGAGATAAAATAGCAAGATCCAAGATACTGCACTGTTGAAGTTAAATTAATTACTAATTTGAAATAGCAAGAGAAAAGCTTATTATTTTGCGAAGTGTTAACAAGCTAAGAGGAAGACAAAATGGTATAAGAGTAGATACAACGATACTCCAAGGAGTAAGTTTATTATGAACAGATTTACCATTGATGCCGTAGGAGCAATATTGAGGATCAGCAAGTTACGTATATGGATTGGTAGGCAGACTTTATATATCTAGTCCATCAAAATGGAATAGAGATGTGAATCGCATGAGAGGAAAATAAATATGGGTACCTATCATATATCACCAAAACAAGCGTGATTCAGAAATATGCCTATTGTAGGGTATCAATGTACAAAATTCTAAACAAAACAAAATCGATCAAATAAGAGACAACCCAAAAACCTTGAGTAGGACCCTTAGATCGTTAAAATCGGCATCTATTGCAAAAAATAATTTCAACGTTTCGATTGACACGGATATTCAAATATTTGTATCAATATATTTTTATCGCGCCTTTGGCGCACGGGAACCTTTGTATCAATATTTGTTAATTGTATATGTATTAAGATTCATATATGACACAAGATATTCAAATATTTGTATCATAAGCTTTGACTCTGATCACATAATTAACCCAAGTTACATTTTTAGCCTTGCGCTATTTCGAGGCTCCTAGGCCGATCCCGGGCCCATTACCATCATAGTTACTACTTAAAAAAAAGGATTTTTTTTAAAATCGCAAATAAAAAAAGTGTTTATATCCATACAATGGAAGTATTCCTTTAATAAATATAAATAAATAAATAAAAAGTAGTAATTGTAGTAGTCCAAGAACGAGTCTAAACAAGTATAAGGGTCTTTTTAATTAGTCTATAGCATGCAAAGCAAAACTAATAAAGTTAGGCCCGTTACTTTCCTCAAAAAATTAATAAATTTGTCTATATCTATCTTCACTATCTATACTACTATATAACCATCCAAGAGAGAGCAATCTAAAAAATGGATGAGTGGTGGACATACCCTCTTTCTTATTATAGTTGAAAGAGTAAAAAAGTAATTTAATAAAAGAGATTTTCTCCCTTTATTCTAGAACATTCTATCAATACTTTACCATAAACATTGATAAGATCTAAGCAATTGAATATTCATTTTTTCTCTTTGTTCTAAAAACATTTTAATCAATATTTTTTTTACAAAACATAGACAAAATGTATATACTTTTTTTTATAAACAAAATTTTTTGTAATTATATAAAGTTTAATTAATCAAATCAACGTACAAACAAAGAATAATGAATTAGACCTAAATTTTAAGAATGATTGTGGCCGTAAAATATGGTTCAAATGGTAAATGGTTCGAGGTGGACTCAAGATAGTCACGAATTTAGATCTCCTCACTGTTCATCTCAAAAAAGATTTACAAACTAGAAAGAAATCAAACTTAAACACTTACAAACCGAAAGCTGGGAGATCCTGCTGGAGCAAGTAGTAGAGCACACTTATCTTACAAACACTCAAAAGAAAGATTAAAAGCAAACCTTACTCAAACTCAGACTAAAACTTAAAACTTAAAAAGGGAAACTGGAGGGATTTCACTAGAGAGGATCGAACTTCAACTCTCCAAAACGCCTCTCCTGAATGCCTCAACCCCTTCTCATTTTATAGACTTTTTCTGGAACTATGCAAAAGATTCTTTTTCATTCTTTAAAGCTTCTTTAAAGCTTGGAGGTCCCCACAGTCTTCAATTTTGTCAACACCTAAGGGACGTAGAGTAGCCTAGCCTTTTTGACAGAAATGCAGCATCTTTCAGTATCCAAGGCAGAATAGTTTCTCTTCTTGTAGCCTTTTTGACCAAATTTCTTCTTCTTTAAGCATCCAAAGCTGATTGGTTGTAGGCCTGTGTTTTAGCTGCAGTCTATTTTATTTAGCTGTGTAAGAAATTTATAAAAGTTTAGATATTTTAAACTTTTGGAAAAGACAATGTGTGATCGACTTAGTGTTTAAGTCATTGATATTAATCAGTAGTTACCATAAGTTAATGGTATATGAATTTTACCATATGTCAGAGATCATCCCATCTATGTGTTATCTCCTCGACCAAATCACTGTCAATTGATGCGTTATTCGAAGAGACGGCTTCCTCTTGATATTGTTTTGCACCCATAAAGACATCATAAGCTTCTTTGGTTTCTGGCCCAATGGGTGGATTGGTCATCCATTTATCAATGACTGCCTTTGTAGCTCTGTGATGTGAGGTTTCCCCCATGCAAATGTCAGTGCAGATGATTCGGAGTCCATCAGTCATAAAGTAGGAATAATCATCGAATAAAGTTTCAAGTTTTTGGTAGAAACGGATGGTACTTTGAAAATGATCGAGGCCTGTATCATAGCGTTCCTCATTAAACCATGAACTCCAAGGAAGAATTTCATAGAATGTAGAAATTTCCCAAATTTGTAAGCTCGGAAAATAGTCAGGTCCGCTTCGTTCATGTAAGGTAGCTGTAAGCTAAATTGAAGATGTGCCAAAGTTATTGGAGACAAAAAGATGGATGTCTTGATTATGGCTGGCAGACCCCTAAGCCTTAATGGATTGTAGAAGAATGGAGGTTCCCTTGCAATTTGTAATTCGTAGACAAGTCCAGCATCAATATGCGAGATGTAGACAGGAAGATGATTAATATTTATCGTGAATCTGGGAGAACCATTTGTGATAAAAATTGTTTGTTCCTTGTGTTCTTTTAAAAGGGAGACAATATTGTCATCTTCAACTTTTGCCTTAATAACATCTTGAATGTCTTGAGGCAAAATGTTTAGTTTGGACCATAACTGCTCTCTGCTAAGTCGTTCCATGCAAATATCTTGCCGAATGTATTCTGGTATTCCGAGGATTTGAAACATCTCATGAGATGTTAGTGTAATTTTATTGGAATAGGGATAGAGATAATTAATCTCATACGAAAGATCTATGAATTTTTCTTTCAGCTGATTGTTCCGTTTAAGAAATTGCTCATCCTTTTCTTTTAAAAGGTTGACTAGATGAGTCATATGAACTCTGATTTGTCGTTTTTTCTTGATCGCAAATGCTGTTCCATAGATTATTAACAAGCATATAATCAGGATATTTTAATCCTGGATCATAAAAGTATTTGGTCCTTTTTGAAGGAGATGCTGGAGCTAAGCAATGAGATTTTCCTTTAGCTTGTAATATTAAAGCTTGATGAGTCATCTATTTCCTGCAAAAAGTTCAAAAATGTATGTTTGAAATCAATATTTCATTAAAATAGCGGAAGAATAATTCTAATTGTTTCCAATGTTCTTCAAATTTTTTTGAAAAGAGAATTATCACAGTAGGTAACAAGATGATAAATTCTCTACATTCATGAAGATATTGTTCTAAAAATTTTAAATATTTTTGTTGAAAGTGAGTGAAGCCTGGCGGCCTTCTCCTCCAAGTATAGAAAGAGAAAGGTAGGATGAGAACAGTTTTCCATCGATTTTTTTCTAAGATCTGCATTTGCCAAAAACCCATTTTGATATAAAACTTTGAGAATATTCTACCATGTATAATATTTTTAATTTGATATTCTGGTACTTGATAATTAACCCAGACCAAATTATTTGAGCTCTTGTAATCAATAATTTGACTAGCAACTCCATGTTCAGAGTCAGAGTCCGAACAGCATGTGTCATAATCAACTTTTATTAAATTGTCTTTGATAAGTATTTCAATTTCTTCTTTGCAGGTGGCCAGAAGATCATCATTCATACGTACTGGTATGTCAAAATATCTATTATCAAAAGGAATACGAGAAAATTCTTTAATATATGAAAGACGAATATACCATTTGTTATTAAGAATCTTTGTGTTAAAAGAGTCTGGGCAATCTTTGTCTTCAGTATTAGAAAGAACATTTATGAATTTCTCTTTAAATTGTAATGCAGAAAAAAGGTCGTTAACTAACATATCTTCTGGTTCCTTATTAAACCAAAAAGAGATATTAGGGTCTCTGGCCTGGCCTATGTATGTATACCATGAGAATCTACAATAAAAGGCTTAAGATTATTGATAAAAGGAGTTCCCAGAATAATACCTTGCTTGAGGTCTTTGAATAGAACAAAAGAGGTTTTAATTTTTTGACCATCATTGCAAATATAAACATTAGTGAGTTTATATCGGGCTTTGAGAGATTGTCCATTTGCAGCACTAACAAGATGAGATATTTTCTTATAAAACATCAGAGGAATAAGATCTTCTCTAATGCAATTTACATCTGCTCCAGTGTCAATAAGAGCTGTGTGTTGGACAGAGTATTCGTCCATAATGTTAAGAGTGATATTACATCTCTATTTTTTCTCGACATATTTTTCTATAGAATTTATAAATTCATTATCATCAGAATCTTCCTCATGTTCAAAGTTTTTTATATTTTTGAAACTATCAGATGCTTCTATGGTTTTATTTTCTAGGTAAGTTTCTAAAATTTTTATTTTTTGTTTTA